CCTGGAACTGATGTTACAGGAGGCTATAAGCTGTCCAGTGTGAGTGCTTAGAATTGAACTTGGGCCCTCTGGAAGAGTAGCCAGGGTTCTTAATCACTGAGCCATCTCTCCAGCCCTACCCACTTTGTTTGTGAAAGGGTCATTTGCTGATCACCATTGTGTATGCCAGAGTAGCTGTTCTGCAGGTCTGGGGGTTCTCCACCTTCCATCTCATCTTGGAGACATTGGGGCTACAGATAGCTTTACATAGGCGCCTGGGACTTGAACTTTGTCTTCATGTTTAAGCAGCACTTTACCCTCTGAGCTGTCCCCAGTCTACTGCATGTTCCCTTTGACATTTTGGTGCTGAATCTCATTGTTGTGGTCTGTCAGTCCTTTTGGTTATATATTCTAGAGAGGTTATGGTGTGGAAAGATATATGTGTAAAGTTCTGCTATTAGGTGCCCAGGCAGTGTCTTCTGAGTGAACATTGAACGCAGGCATTGGTTACTTCTACATTTAAATCAAAAGAAGTTGAGGGGTGAGTTTACAAAGTACTTTACAGCTGCATGTCTTCATTTTCGGGAAGCAGCGTTGTCAAGTAACTTAACGATGTGACTATTGTAAGAAGGGGCCCTGCAGGAGTGTCCAAGTGCACTGAGATGAAGCCACAGGTCCCTGGTGACCTTGACTGTGACAGTAGGTAGAAATCTGGGCAGGTGCTGAAGTGACAGTGAGAGTGGCTGACAGGGACATGTTCTTTATCTCCTCTGTGCAGAGTCAGAACTATGTTCTCCTGTTCTGGAAGGGCTTTACTAAGCACCTCATGGGCTGGGCACCACAAACTACAGATAAAATAGCAAGCCTTCAAGTCCCTCACTCATCACTGAACTAAGCTGTGTGACACACGCTGCAGTAGAGATGTCATACTGGGGTCTTTGGAGCAGAGTGAAACCAACTTCAGCAGGAGGAGGAAGGGCAGACAGGAAGAGTCTCAGAAGGCCAGGAGGAGGGGAAAGTCTGCTCTGAGGCAGATGTTACTGGATGGTCTACTGCAGAGCTGGAGTCCTGCAGTTCCCTCAGCACTTCTGGAAGTCCCCTCAGGCTTGGTGAGACCAGGCAGGAAAGTAGTAAGCCTTGATCGACAGGTCACCCCTAGGGTATAGCATCTGTAGTCAGTATAGGAACCTGCCCATCCCTTTTCCCTTTCGACATGACGGGCAACAATGTTTGCTGCTGTGGCTGATCCTAGTCACCTGTGTGGGCCTACCCCTGATACATTGCCCCTTACAGATAAACAGCATGAGTGAAAAAGAAACTTGTTTGCAGTATTTGTCATTTTCCACATAATGCAATCTGGTCCTTCAGTTCTCTTAAGTGTGGGCCCAGGACAGGTAGCATTTGTTTTACTTAGGAAGGTGCTAGAAATACAAATACTCAGGCCTCACCAGGGGTGACTGGAGCAGAAACCTGGGAAGGGCTCAGCAGGCTAGGTTTTAGCAAACCTTCCAGGGGATTCTGAGGCACAAGGAAGTTTGGGAATCATTGTCTGGTCAAGGCAGACTAAATCAGTTCTCTTACAGGGGAGGGATTAGACATCACAGAGGAAGGTGGGTAAAGTGCTTGCTGTAAAACATGTAGGTCCGAGTTCAAATCCACAGCACACATGACCCACATAGAAGTCAGGCATGGTGACTTGCAGCTATAACCCTGGTGCTGGAGGTAGGAAGGGAGAGGACACTCATTGGCCAATCAGTCTAGTTCAAAGTGAGATCTCAGCCCTGTCTAAAAAAGAAAGTGGAAAGTAACAGAAGACACCCAGTGTGAGCCTCTGGTCTATACATGTGCCCCCAAGCACACATATGCACATGCTCCCCCCAATAAATTTAGAGAAGTCACAGAGAAGGTCATTCTAACAAACTCTAAAACCCGGAGTGAGATGCTGATGATTTATTGTGTGATAGAAAAGGGTTCTAAAGGAAAAACAGCACTGTACCCATCACCCACCGACTGAGCCACCCTGTCCAAATAGCTATGTGGATATCTATCGCATCAAATGAAAAGAAAATGCACAATTGCAGAAAGAGACACTCAGAGTCCAGTGGCATTGATGCCAGGGCTCAAGATAAACCTAGGAAAATACTTTCCATTTGTGCCTGTGGCCTAGCTGATTTAGGAAATGCTCCTGAATGCTTTGAATTTGAAAGGTACAAAATATCCAATTCTCTCTTCTGAAAGCTGAGTCATCGGTGCTGTTGCTGAGGCTATTTGGTAATGGGCACTATTTAAATGAAGCAAAAAAAAAGTACAATTTCAAACGAATTGCTTTTTAAACTGTCAAATAAAAGGAATCCATTTGTGCATGTGAGATCATTCCAAGGATCCTAACTATTAACTGAAAGCAGTTGAAAAATGTCAAAGAGAAGAAGTGTTCTATCCCAAGGCTGGCTGAATGCTTCCAGGTGGAAACTAATGACTCCTTTGACCTGATCTAGACTCAAAACTTTCTGTTTTTCATTAGCCCTATGAGAATTTCATGGATGCAAGTTTTAAATTTTAAATCTTAGAAACAAGCCACCGGGTTTATTATTTGTTTGTGTTTTTTGCTACTGTTGCTTTATCTGCTGTCACATGAATGCTGTCTCAGATATCAGACACAGGTGTATCATCATGTCAACTCTTTTCTCTGTCTTAAATTGGGTATCAAGGGCCCTTGTCAAGCAACTTTCCAAGCAGCATATTTAACAGTGTCTTCATCCCTTTGTTATTGATTAATTCGTCCTTGTCTAGTCAATGAGAAGGAAATTCTGAGGATGTGTGGAAAGTAACATTTCAATCTTCAGTGTTAGTGTTTGGCAGCTAGCACCAGACTGGAGGATGAGCCTCCATGGTGAGACACCACTACAGACCAGACAGAATTCTGGATGGTTCTACATAAGGCCCACCCACCTTGGCTCTTTCTGCTTCATACCCTCTAGGGCTTTCCACTTGTGGATTAGTTTTGTGTCTGTGTCTTCAGTATCTTTGTAACGTCCATTATACTGGCAAATCATCCTGTACTGTTCTGAGTTCTCTGAGAAGTTAGAAATGAAGCTGTGATTCCCTGCTTCAGACCCAATCATTTTTCTTCCTTAAGATCCCTGGTCTGGGGATGGGCTGCCCTCTATGATAGGGAGGGGGGAAAACCAGCAAAAGCCCAAGAATAAAAACATTGTGTCCTTGAGAGCAGCTAGGAGTTGACACCTTTCAAACAGACGCTAGTATTGTTTATCCCATGATTTTAAAAAATGCCTGCAGTGGGAACCAAGAGCCAGAAATTCAGCCTAGGAAGCTCATCCCTGCAGATAAAGCTCAACTGGAAACTGCAGCTGACTGCTTCAGCTTCCCCAGCCTCTTTCTGCTGGGTGTTTGCAAGCCCTGGATTTGGTGATGTTCTGCTATGTATTACCTGCTTACCTGTCTGCCTGCTTGCTCTTTGTCCTTTTATTTTTTTTTCTATAGTTAATAAATTCACCTGTTTTCTGGACCATACTTAACAGTGTAGAAACCAAGATACTGAAAACAGTGATTCCCTCCACCACACACACACACACACACACACTCCTCCCCACCACAGCCCCAGACCTCTAGGTAACTCTTACCAGTGTCCCTCTGCTTGGCTAACGAATGCAAAATGACCTTGCCTGTAAAGTACAAAGGAACCTAGCAAGTGGTGGCCAACTGAAGGAGGCGTTTTTGGGACAGTCCCCAGAAGGGAACTCCTCACACTTGACTGTGCCCAAGGTCTCCAGGGACTCTGGTTTAAAATGCACATTGTTGCTCAGTAGGCCAAGGGTGGAGCTATGCTGCCTGCAAGTCTCCTAAGCTCCCAGGCAATGCCTTGGCTGCTGTGGACCACACTGTGGCCTAATGAGCAGCGAGGGAATGTGGGCTCTCTGCAAAACACTGACTTCCAGAATCCCACTTAGCAGGCAGGCATCTGAGGGACCAGCCCCTTTGATTCGGGGTTCCTTGAAAGCAGACACTGGGTCTTAACACACACGTTGTTGTTGTTGTTGTTTTGTCTTGTTTCTTGGCTGGCTAGCTCTTGGCATGGAGCCCACACATGGTGCGTATGTATTTATTTAATTAAACAGAGTTGGCTTTGATCCAAACACGATTTTAACTGGACTTAACCCCTAGTAGGCCCTAGATCAGCAAGGGAAGAAACTCAGACGGGGAAGAAGTCTGAGTTAGAGGTCCTTCCCGATAAAGGCCCCCTTTTATCTGCACCTGGATGACACCGCAGATGCTCTTCTAAAATTTCATTCGGTCACATTTTAAATGCGGTTTACACTAGCGAACCAAAAGGAAGGGAGGTGGGCAAATAAACCTAAACCAAAAAGTCATGCGAAGCTGAAGCTGTAAGGTTGCAAAACATCAAAAGTTCACAACTGTTGGGGGTGGATCCGCAGAACTGCTGGGTTTCTCCCTTTGCCAGATTACCAGCGCTTCATAGGTCGGTGTTGCGCCCCCGCCACACAAGGCCCTAGTTAGCCCGGAGAGCCCTGAAGAAACCGGTCCCGGCGGGCGTCAGTTGGCTTGGTGCAAGCCTGTTTGTTAGCGCTGAGCGAGCAATTAAGCTGCTTGTGCAGTGGCGATCTAGGGGTGGTGGTGGTGACCGCCTGGGTCGCGGTGTGGGGGGAGGGCTCGTGGGGAGCCGGGAACCGAGCTAGAGCTCTATAGAAACCCTGGTTCTGAGAGTCCTTGGCGATGCGGTAACCTGTTCCTTTCTACAGCAACCACAGATGGTGAGGACTCATTTCGGCTCCCCAGGTTCAGAGGGAGCGAAAAGGGGGGCAAGGAAAGGGGATTATATTGGTCAGTGGCTGGGCCTCCCCCCGAGGGAAGGGAGAAGCGCTAGAGGAGAGCGCCCTAGGGGAGGTGTACACGTGCAGGGAAGGGAGGGTGAAAGGCGGGCGGGCGGGAGGGGAGGAGTAGGGAGGCGAGAGCAGCTTGCGGGAGGCGCCACGACCTCGCAGACGCAGGCGCCGGCCGCCGAGGAGCCAGAGAGAAAGTTCCTGGGGACAGTGCGCCCGCGGGAGGGCCCAAGCTGTGGCCGCTGCCCGAGACTATCTCGAGTCCCGCGTGTGCAGTGCTCCGTTCGCCTGCACTCACTTGGCTGCCGGGGTTCTGCTTTTCGAGAAGCAGAGGAGCCTCGCGGGCGGGCAGCCGGGGCGGCCGCGACTAAACTTGGACCAGGAGGATGCTGCGAGTGGGCGCGGCGGCGCGGTGCGCGGGGGCGCTCTCCAAGCTCTGATCGCTCCTGGCGGGCTCCGAGCGCGCCGAGGCGCAGTAGGGCAGGTAGTGGCTCCAAGCGCCTGGACTGCGCCAAACCTACCAGTCAAGGCCGCCAGCGCCACCGTGCAGGCGTCGTTTCCTCGCTAAGGAGTCATGGTGCCCACAGCGCGCAAGCCCCGCGAAGAACTCTGAGCTCCGGCCGTGCAGTGCATCCCCTCCTCTGGTATCCCCATCCGAGCTTCCCGCGTCTGCCTTGCTCGCGGATCATGAAGCTATAGCCTGGAGCCCCTTGCCTCTGAGCCGTGCATCGCTCCGCAGCAGCCCTAGCGCCGCTGGACCACCGACAGCGCTCTGACCCTTCAAACTCGGGATCTTCTCCCAGGGACGCCGGGCGCTCAGAGATGGCGCTCCGTGGACCCCTCCGGCCTCGCAAAGTTCGCAGGAGGCGAGAGATGCTGCTGCAGCAAGTTGGCTTCGTGTGCGCCGTACTGGCCCTGGTGTGCTGTGCGTCTGGCCTCTTCGGAAGCTTGGGTAGGTGCGGGGAAGGATGTTCTCCACCCCGGGAGTTGGGGACTCTGAACTGGGAAGCCTCGGGGCAGCTCCAGCTCCTTCCCGGTCAGATTGGTCCCTAGGGTTTTCCCTCCCCGCCCGGGGCGGGAGGGGGCGGGTAGTGCGCTTCCAGGAGGGTTGAGACTCGCGCTGGACTGTGGCACTGGTTCCGTTAAGCTACTCAAGCTCCCTGGGGTTCGGATGGCTGTAGGTGTGTGTTGCTGGTACCGAAGCCTGCACCACCTCTCCCTGGAGTGTGCAGGGGGTGGGGGTAATGGGCAACTCAGGGCGGCCCAGGGGTAGACTCTCCCGCTTTAGGGTATCTGAAACCGAGCAGTGCACTTTCCTGTTCTTCATAGCTGCAGAGGCTGTGCTCAGTCCCTCAGAGACCGAGAGTCTCAGACTAGGTCTCAGCTCTCCCCTTGCTACCGCTCGGGTCCAGATGGGTAGCCTGGGTTTCCTGACGCGTCCTCCCTGAACCCTAAACGGAGACCCTAAACATGCTGCCATGTTCCAACATCGTTTCTCTCAACTCTGCTTAATCCCCACGAAAAGGGAGGGCTGGCGAGCAGAGTCCTGATGTACACTCTTCCAAGCAGAAGGGGACCGGAGAGTCTGTTAAAACGTGTAAATTTCAGAAGTGGGGAAAGAAAAGGAACGTATGAAATATTTATTGCAGAGGGAGCTGGGCTCCTGTTTGGTCTCTAAAAGACATTTACTGTCTAGATAGTTCAGAACTGGGTGCTGTGAACCCCTCGGGGTCCCCCCATGTAAAATAAACCTTGCCAATTTAGCCACCAAGGCAGAGGCACAGTGGAGGAAGGGAACCGTTTTGAGTGGCTAGGAGCACCCATTAACATAGCCTATTGGGACCTTTTAGAGACCTATGCAGTGATGAGAAAAGCAAGCGAAACCTGATTAAACTTTAAAAAGAAAAAGACACCACCAAAACTGTGATTTGGGAATAGAGGGCTAAAGAGTGGCTAAAGACAGTTTATTTTTAAAACCTCAATGCCTAATGCTTTGCAATTGGGCAATTAAACACAAGAAATAACAAAATGTCTAGGTTGTGAGGTATAGGCATTCTGGAGGAGGTATTGCTACCCAGCTGAAACAGTGGGCATCCTGATAGGTAAATGAATACTCAGGGTGCAGTCTGAAGCCAAAGCTATTTTTATTTGCTAGATCAGGAGTTAGCTTAGGGTATTTAACCATGTCTGCTCAGAGGCATCCATGCCTTCTCTGGCTCTGTGTGACCCCTGGACCACAGCATGATGACGTAGGAGCTTGAAACTACAGACTCACAATCTTCACCTTGGACCTACTGAATCAGAGTTGTATTCTGACCAGATCCCCCAGTGATGAGTGTGTTCACCTGGCCACCTACCATCAGCTGGCTGAACTCACAAACTTAAGCATTCAGTTGTAGGAAGCACCTTGAGCAAATTTACTGAGAAAGTATTTAATGCTCCTAATGAAATCCTTTGTTGAATGGGGGTGGGTGGCGGGAGCTGAGACCAGCTCCATCTTGCCCAAGGTCAGATCACACAATGACCCATGTGAAACTAGAAACAACGGATTAGATTCAGGAAACAGAATACTGTGTGGAAGCAGGTGATAGCATACTGCCAATCACCACATCACTCCCTACAGGTGCTTCTAAATAGCCCAACCTGGGCCTAGAGAGATGGCTCAGCAGTTAAGAGCATGTACTGCTCTCCCTAAAGACCTGAGGCCAATTCCCAGCATCCCTAGTCAGATGGCTCACAACCACCAGAAACTCCAGTGCCAGGCAGGTCCGACTCTCCTGGCTTCCACACACACACCTGAACTCATGTGCACTTACCCCCACACAAACAAATACCTATAATTAAAAATAATAAAAAAATAAATAGCCCATGGCTGTGGTTGACCTAGATGTAAGGACAGGTGTAAGGTCAGTTTTGAGAACTCAAGAATCACGTTCACCTGATGGTATCCGTGACTTGTTCTTTTTAATCCAGGCCACAAAACAGCTTCTGCTAGCAAACGTGTTCTGCCAGACACATGGCGAAATAGAAAGTTGATGGCACCGATAAATGGAACTCCACCGGCTAAGAACTGCACGGATCCTGGTAAGACGATGTGGTCTCCCCTTTCTGGCAGGCATTTAACCCAGACAGATCCAGCTATTGTTGGGAAAGATTGTCTTGGGAACCTGAGTGAAAAAGGGTAGCTGCATGGTGTTGAAACCTATAGACATTCATCAGCCATGCTGCTAAGCAACACAAGAGCTTCCTTTATCCAGCAACTACGAAGGTCACACTCAAGAGTCTAAAATGCTACCTTTTGTTCTAAAGGCCATGCATTTCCCCTGCTCTCTTGATTCTTTGGCTTTGCCCTGGAGTCTTTCATTCCCCACTGTACGCATTCGATGACCACCCCCCCTTGGGACAATGAATCCATAGCTTCTGGTGGGTATCTTTGTGAGATGACCTACCAGTGTGGGAGCACTCCAGGCCACTGAAAGGGAGAACTCTGTGTTGGTTCCTGGGCCCTTCCTTTCTAATGGAAGTCCTCAGGTAGTTGGATTTTGCTTGTTCTGGGAAGCAGTTTTAATGTTCTTTGCTGGGGTATCTGGGGTGGGGAGGTCCCAGGGGTAACATCTGGTCTACTCTGCTTCAGGCAGGCTTCACTTAAACCAGCACAAAGATCCAAGGGAGTAGAGAGTATACCTGTTGGCAGTAGGCACGTGAAAGCTGCCCAGACCTCTCATAGGGCAAGTTTAGGACATTTGCCCTTGATCCATCTCTTGGGGTCGTTGTGAAGAGAGTACAGTAAGGTGAAGAATTCAGAAGCCTTAATGGGAAATAGAAGATTTTGTTGTAGATGGCTTTTCTACGGATTTGCTGGACCAAGCACATGATTTTCTGGGATTTCTAACCTGTAAAGTAGGCTGAATAGTGCTTGCCTGCTCTGGGTTGATGAAGAATCTGCTGAGGCTCTTGCAAAGGGCTGTGTGTAGGAGATGGCACCCCCGGGCAAAGGAGTGGGCTCGGCTGCAGAGCGCCAGGCTTTTGATGTCAGCTTCAGTAAGGCAGTGTGTTTTCTAGGTTAGGAAAGGTCTGTGGTAGAGACACAAGTCGCACAATTCATTGACACTGAAGCTGGCTTTGGAAGCCTGGCCTGTGTGCCTACACTGTCTTGGGCTCCTTGTGCTTATGAAGGCTTCTGTCATCTCGCTAAGCTGTCTTGCTTAGAGATAGTTCAATACCATGAACTCATCTTTCCCAAGAGGCTTTCTAGAAGGATTTGAGGGGGAATGGTGAGCACTTTCAAAGCAGCATTGTAATGCCCATTGAGCCAGGGTATGTATTCCTGAATCATCCCACCATCATGGTGACCCTGCAGGCAGTGGTACCATGCTGTCATTGACATTCCTGACACATCTTATTAGTTCAGGTACTGCCCTGGCTCCTGCCAAGGGGTTTACTCAATCGCTAGCATGTGTAAGGCCAGGGACCTGACATTCTAGAATTAGCATCTTGATTTAAACAGGGCCCCACTTCTAACACTGGAGTTTTCTTCTCCTCTGTCGTGGTCCTTGTATTTTCAGTCTGGTCAAAAAAGCATTCATGGACTCTCAAACAGTGTGTTCTGTCTCATAGGAATGCCTGGCCTTGTCTTGTGGAGAGGGAAATGTGAGAAACCACCCACGTCTTTAGCAATAATTAACACTCAGATTACACTCTATGTTGACTGTGTCCATGGCGGGACCTAGCGCATAGAAAGGTCTCAGGCAATGAGATAATGCAATGAAAGCTCATTTTGATGTGTGACATACAGCAGTCTTCATGGTATTTTTGTAAAGATGGGGCCATAAAGACCAGTTTAGTGGCTTCTAAAGATCTCATCTCTGGGTTACCTGACTTCTAGTGCTGTCTTAGTTGTTTTTCTATTGCTCTGACAAAACACCATGGCCAGGGCAACTTATTTTTTTTTTAAGTGTTTAATTGGGCATAGAGTTTCAAAGAGTCCATGATGGTGGAGCAAAGGCATAGCAGTAGGGACAGCTGAAAGCTCACATCTTGATCCACAAATAGGAGGCACACACACACACACACACACACACACACACACACACACACACTGGTAATGGCACAGATCTTTTGAAACCTCAAGTTCAGCTCATAGCACACCTCCTCCAACAAAGCCACACCTCCTAATCCTTCCCAAATAGTTCTACCAATGTAGGGACCAAGCATTCAAATGTCTGAGCCATTCTCATTCAAACTACCTGAAGTATCACATCCTTCCCACTCCTCGGCTTTCCTTTCTGCCTCCTCTCTTTCTGTTTGACATCTCAGCAAGCATTTGCTATTATTCTTTGCCAGTTTCCCGTGCAGACGCAGATTGTGTCTAAGTAGGTTACAAGAGACAACCTCTGCCATTAGGTAGCTTATAGCCAAGAAGAATGGACAAGATCTTGACCAAAAAAGCCATACAACAATGAAGGACCACAGAGACCTCCAGTCAACCTGGTAGGAGGCTTCCTTTTTGGTGCACATAGGAGGAAGAGTGGCCGGCTGGGGTTCTGGGTGTAGATGAGGTTGGCCTTTGTTTCAATGATAGAAACCTTCCCAACTGAGTTCAGCAAACAAGGGAAATGATTGACTTGGTAACTGGAGAATGGGGTCAGAGGTTAGAAGGTGTCTATAACTCAGCTTCCCCAGTCTCTGGTCTCAATTGTATTCTAGCATGGGAAGATGGGCACCAAAAGGCCATTTTCATGTCCTTGTAGGTTCTGAATATTGCAAAGAGTGTATCTGAACCCTGAGACTTGTTCTGTTGATAACCCTAAGTCAACTGTTTGAGCCAGATGGGTGTTGGGTTCTGGATTGTCTTAGTCCTCAATCACAGGCTAAACATCTGGAGTGAGCAGGCAAAGCTACTTCTCCAAGTTCCACCCGTAAGGGGGGGGGGAGTCAGTGTGGCTGTGCTCCTGAGGGTTAGTATCTTTAGGAACCTAAGAGACTGTGTGCCTGGGCACCTGTGGGTTGGTATGGCCAAGCACCCAAGCACCCATGGGTTAGCACGGCTGGACACTTGGGGAACAGGTAGATGTTCACCCAAGGCTTTCATCCTGGGCTGCTGCTGTGATAAAGGTGGACTGGGCCTTCAGGTTAGAAGTTCATAAGTGTGACAGAGTTCATGCTTTTCAAGAGTGTGATAGGTGTTTCCAAGTAGTCAGAGTTGGTGCTGTCATGGTCAGGTCCCACAGATTCATTGCAGGGGCATCACTAGGCACCTGCTAAGAGCACCATCTCAACATCTCTCCTGCTAGATCAGAATATGCATCCTAACAAGGTCCCCAGTGAGTCATGTGTACACAAGATGCCAGTGAGCATGCCCTGGAGTGCTGCTGGACACTTGCAGGTAGATGCTTGATCAGTATTTGAATGTTAGACTGAGGTATGGCTTAGTGGTGGAGTATTTGCCTATCATGCACAAGGATCTGCCTTTGATTGTCCTGGCACTGAAAATCATGTGTGAGTGTTTAATAAAAAGTTAGACTTGATTTAACAGAGTAATTTTCCCCAAGTATTTGTTATTTATTTTTCACATAGGGAAGTAAAAATGGTTACTTAATTTTGGCCAGTTATGTTTATAGAAAATTCATAATTTTCCCTCAGAAGTTTGAAGGCATGCTCTGGCCTCCAGGCCTTAGATATTTCTTTTCACAGTCTGTACCAGTGGTTCTCAACCTTCCTAATGCTGTGACCCTTGAATACAGCTCCTCATGTTGTGGTAACTCTCAACCATAAAATCATTTTTGTTGCAAATTCATAACTGCAATTTCGCTACTATTATGAATCGTAATGTAAATCTTTGTGTTTACCAGTGGTCTAGGTGACCCTTGTGAAGGGGTCATGACCCATAGGTTGAAAACTGCTAGTCTACATAGAGCAAACACCACAGCAGGCAGGGGTCTGAGTGTGTACACGCTCTGCACAACAGTAATGAGCAACGGAGACCTTGAGTCCCTTAGTTACTACTTCTGGCCACTCTAACAAAATACCCCGGGCTGGGTGGCTAACCAGATGCTTTCTCACAGTTCTGGGGGTTTGGAAATTGAAGATCAAGTTGCTGGTTGCCCTGGTGTCTGGTGAGGGCTCCCTGCCTACCTTAGAGAGAGCTGTCCTTTTGCTCAATATGGTAGTGAGAAAAAATGATTAAGCTTCCTTCTCTTACCCTCCCCCTCCTCCTTCCTTTACTTCCCCTCCTCCCTGCCTTCCCTTTCTCCCCCTCTTCATCCTGCTTCTCCTCCTGTTCCTCCTGCTCCTGCTCCTCCTCCTCCTCCTTCACATAAAGGCGCCAACTAAACCCATCATAGGAACTCTACCATCATGGTCTCATTTAACCCTAATTCCCACCCCATATACCCAAAGGCATCCCCTCCAAATAATGTCATATAGACGATTATAGGACTGTTACATGCTCTCTCTGGTGATGAGAGGGAGCTGGGGTATCACAAGCACTGGGAAGCCATTTTGTTGATGGAGCTCAACGAGGATGAGTTAACCACACATGTCACCAAACATTTACTCTTGTCTTGTGGAAACAAGCATTTCTTAGTTTGCTATGTCTTATCATTGGAAGGTTTCGAATTCTGAGGATAGTTTTTTAGAAACATCTTACTTGTTTTTTCCCCTGTTTAAACTGGGAGGAGGCAGGCTCCCCCTGTGCTTATCCCCACCCATCCCCACATTCGAGACTGAGTGAATCCTCATTTTCAGCTATGCCACCCTGTAGCTTGGGTTTCTGGTGTCTTGCACCTTTAAAAGGAAGCTGAAGGAGAGAGGAGAGGAGGGTGGCTTGCATCCCTTTTCTCCCCTTCCCCATCGTTGCTGGGTGGGGGGGGGGTTCGGTCCTCCTGTAGAGTTGCTATGTTGTGTTTGGGGTTTCATCTTTTGGATGCACGATCTGAAATGCCTGCTGGCTGTGTGCCCTTGGGAGGAAGGCTGGAAGGAGCAAACTGATGACCAACTTGAGAGAGACTGAGATGATGCTTGCAGCATTTCAGGGGAGCGGAGGAGCTGTGCAGGTATTGGATGGAGGATTTTTTGTGATCCAC